GCCTTTTTCGCATCTCTGTGGCTCTCGGGGGCCCGGGGGCCGTTTTGGGGGGCTCTTGGAAGCATCCCGGGAGTTTCTTGGGAGCCTCTTCGGGCTGTATTGGAGCCTCTTGGGGGTTTCTCGGGGCTTCTTGGGGGCTTTTGGGAGCCTCCTGGGGTTCTTTTGGGGCCGGGAGCTCGAAACCTCCGTTCGGGTTCCTTCTTTGGGCCTTCCTTGGGGCTGTCCTAGGGACTCTTCGGCTGACATGGAGGCCAGGAGGAGGAGGAGGAGGACGAGGAGGAGGAGGCGGAGGGAGGAAGAGAAGGAGGAGGAGGAGGAGGAGGAGGAGGAGGAGGAGGAGAAGAAGGGAGAGCATGAAGAGGAGGAGGGGGAGAGGAAGAGCAGCGTGTGGAGGAGAGGGGGTAAAAACAGGAGGAGGAGGAGGAGGAGGAGGAGGAGGAGGAGGGAAGGAGGAGGGGGGGGAGAAAGAGGAGGGGTGGCGTCGTCACGCGCAATCCTAGAGAATTGTTGGATATGACTGGCGGTTTCCGGCCAGGGTTGCTCGCCTGCCCGGGCGGGACCAGACCTTGGAACTTGAGTTATTGAATCGTTTCGCTCACTCCGCCGGCCCATTTCGCATCTCGGTGGCTCTCGGGGGCTCGGGGGGCCAGTTTTGGGGCCCATTGGAGGCCTCCCAAAGGCTGCTTGGGAGTCTTTCGGGGCTTTATTGTGGCTTCTTGGAGGTCTCTCGGGGCCTCGCGGGGGCTTCTGGGAGCCTTCTGGGCGCCTTTTGGGGCCGAGAGCTGGAAACGTCCGTTCGGGTTTCTTATTTGGGCTCTCCTTCGGGCTATCCTAGGGCCTCGTGGGCCGTCATGGAGGCCTTTTGGGCCGTCTTGGGGCCTTCGTGGGTTATTTTTGGGGCCCTCTTGGAAAACTCTCGGGCCGTTTTGGGGCGGGTTTGGGGGCCTCTCGGGCCGTCTTGGCGCGTCGGGGAGCTGAAAAGGCGAGAACGCCCAAATCCTGTTACAAACAATTGGAAATACATCATGTTTGCCTCTTGGGGCCCTCAGGGGAGGCTTCTTGGAGGCCTTTTGGGGCGTACAGCGGGCATCTTGGGTTGTTTTGAGGCTATCTTGGGCCGTTGTGAAGCGTTCTTAGCCTCAGGTTGTGGCGCCTGCAACTTATCTGGCGCCTGCTTGGGCCGCTCCTGGAGCGCTCCGAAGGCTCCCAGGGCCGCGCCCAGGATTTTGGCATCTTGTAAAGCCTGGTGGGTTAGATTGTATGTTACCCTATGGCTTGACGTGTTGATGCCAATGAATGTGCTAACCATGGGGTGCAGTGTCGGAGACTGGCTCCACAATTTCCGACCACATGGGAAAAACCTCATGGTGAATGCCTGCGCTGAAAGAAGTGCATGTTCAGTCATGGCTTGAGGCAGCGGTTGATCGGCTGTGCACACTGAGAGTTGCGATGCGTCTCCGGCAGGACCTTGCCGGGAGTTGCCCCGGGTACTTTTCGCCTGGAGACCCCCAGGAGCCGCCCCGCGCGTGCGAAATAGAAACACGGTTAAGATGTTACTGGAGGTCTTAGCACGCCTCTGGCCCGTTGGGCCGGCGAATTGGGCAAGCGGATCGCAACCGAGAATTTGTAGCCTCCGGCGGAGATCCCAGCGCCGAGGCTCGTTTGAATGCGGATCGCAATGAAGAAGTTGTACAAACATTTGGTATTGGGTGGTAGGAGGGCCGCATTTTGTCAATACCTCGCCACGGTGATCGGGTGCTTGTTGGTTGACTTTATGTGTGTGTACGTCTTTATGCCTGTCTGTCAGTGTGTCTGGCTGTCTCCATGCGTGTGTTTGTTTGGCTCGACGGCACTCTGTCTGGCTGTCTCTATGCGTGTGTTTGTTTGTCTCGAAGGCACCATTTGGGCTGAAGTGTCGTACGCCCTTCCGCCGAGCCCCAGGAGAAGTGGAAGCGTGCGATGATAGTGGAAACGATCTGGTGGCATTCGGCCAAACTCGCCACCGTGTTTGGGCTGTGGGTCGGAAGCCTTTCTGATGAAACTGTGAGTCTCTTGGGATCCCTGCCACTATGAGAGGGCTCTAGGGGGCATCTGGGAGATTCGGCGAGAATGTCAACAGCAAAGAAAACACAATGGAAAATCAATGATTCTGGCTTCTTGGGTCTCTCTTCTGATGCCTCTTGGAGATGTCTTGGTGCGTCTTGGCGGCCTCTTGGGCTGTCTTGGGCGTTTGGGGGCGCTCTTTGGGCGTCTTTGGACCGTCTTGGGCCATCTTTTGGGTTTCTTAGGCAACTTTTGGGCAAGCAAACCGTCCCGGACGCTTATGCGTTTTCTCCCAGCCGCGCTTCGCCCGTCCGCTGGAAGAGAAATTATATCCATTACAATAGGCATCTCAGGGACACGGAGTTCTGCCTTTGACAGGGGACTCCGAAGGGGCATGGGAAGCGAGGGGCCGCTGAAGGGGATTCGGAAGAGCGACTTCCCGACGCTTTCAGGCTCGAGCGGGTTGTGGATTCCCGCGCTCCGCATCGGTGCCTTCCGGGGGGGCCTGCATCCGTATTCCTTTTCCATTCCCTCCGCATGGCAACCCGGGGCGCGTACGTTGACGAGGCGCTTCCGCCGGCAGCGCCCGATCGCTTACTGGTGCAGTACAGGGGGACGCGCTGCGGGCAATGCGGCACCGACGGCATCGTACCGCCCTCCGCGCTCCCGAATCGCCGGCCCCGCCACCCATGGACAGGCCACGAGGTGGACATGAGGCGACTGCGTGATCGCCTGCAGGCGTCAGTGGCCACGCGCTCCAGCGGCACTCAGACCGTGGATGTCGCAGTGTTAGTGTGTCCGCGGTGCTTTTGCCGTCACTACCCCATGTGGCTCGTGCCCGCACAGGGCGGTCGGGAGCGTTGGCTGCACACTGTACCAGCGGACTTGGACTATTGCTTTGTCTCGGCGGAGTTCGGCGTCGAGGTGTCCCTCTTGCGGTGGTTCGAGGCTCTCTGGGTGGCCGACGGAACCAGGTTCGAGAACTTCGCGGCGGCCTATGGGACATTCTTCGGGTGCCCGCGCACTGCGTTCCAGAAGAAGGACTTCCTGCACGCATACGTTCTCTGGAGCTCTCTATGCTGGACGGCGGAGGGAATTTTGCAGGAAAATCCCATGTGGCTGGATGCAGGTGCTGCTGGCGCAGCAGGAGGAGGACACGTGTGGGCCAGCGTTCCGTACTTCGACTGCCGCATCGGCAACCAGGGCGCTGACATCGAGGAGTTCTTGGGCCCGTTGCGGAAGTACTGGTACCCCGCCTTCAACGACCAGTGGGTGGCCAGGCATTCCGAGTATTGCACGTCCGACTGCACCAAGGTGATGCTGCTCGATGGGAGCGCCAAGAATTACCGAACCGGTTGCCCTGCGGAGATTGCTCCCCTCGATTACCACGGCGTGACGGTGCGGAGGATGTGCGGCAGGCCAGTGCAAGGCCCGTCCGGCTGCGCTGTTCACGGCCATGTGCCGCGCCCTCCGCCGCGCCAGTCTGGCGGCGGTCGCCGGGGCCAGCGGGAGTGTGCTACACTGAAAGAGCGGCATCATCCGACGGCTTCCAACCGGAGCTTTGGGTGCCTGTCCAGTGCTTTCCGATGCCGCACGTTCGGCCCTTTCTACGAGCTCGCTTACGCGGAGAGCTGCTCGCACGTGTACATGGCGGAGAACGAACTCAAGTCCCTCAACCCGGATTTCGCCATCAGCATCTACGACGACGGCTGCCACATGCGAGATTTCTGGCTGACCCGCCCGTCTCAGGTACACCCAGGGTGAATGCCCCGCCACTTCATTCCTCGCAGTCATTTGCGTGGCCACGTCCGTCTCTTTTGCCAGGAATATCTGTGCCCAGATTCTTGCTCGGACCTCTACAAGCACATGCTCAGGGATGTGCAGCTCTCAGCCCAAGACGCCGCCGCTCTGGGAGCCGCCCTTGATAGGAACGGCTGCCTCCGCAGAGGCATCACGGTCGGCGGCGTTGACTTGCCAAGGAACGCGACGTTGCAGGCAGCGGGGGGCAAGCGCATGGACGCTCGCTGCCATCTCATCACAGCATTGAAGGAGGATCCCCTCCCTGTCTGGACCGCGTGGCAGCAAGGGGACGCACGCGTGGTGCTCTCCGTGAACACTAACGCGCAGCGGACTGCGCTCTTGGCTCGCTTCGACCCGCTGCTGCGGCTGAAAGGCCCGCACCCAGTCCGACTTCGAGATGCCGAGGGGCAGGCCGCGTGGGCGCGGAAGGGCGCCGCGCTCGTAGCCGCGGGCGTCTTTCGCAGGGACGGGCGTGAGGCTGTGCGCCAGGCCTTGACCTCGCATGAGGCCGTGAGCGGCGTGACCGTGGTGAAGACGTCCAACACTGAGGCTGTGGAGGAGAACTGGCGCTTCATCAACAGGCACAAGGCGACGCTGCGGCACGCGGGCGCAGAGATGTACTTCTATCTTCTGCACCGCATTGCCCACCTCCTCAACGTCCGCCGCTGGGCGGATTCCGAGGAATGAGTGGCGGGTCGGCTTTGCGCGCGCAGCGGGGGTGTTGCTTAGCGACCGGGCATGCGAGGTGCCCGCTCTTATTGTTTAGTTGACTACACTTGCCTAAAATATTTCGCATGGATTCGAGCTGCCTCAGCGCCGCGCTGGTGCCCGTGCCAGAGCGCCTCGGGGGGGGTCCGACGATGGGAAATTCTTGTCGGGCTCAGGGGCCTCATGGCTGGTCACCTGGGTTCGGGCGTGGTCGAGGTGTTTCGCAAGCTCTCCCGATGTGGCAGGAGGGGAGGGCTGGGGGGCACCCGCCAGCGCGGCTGTTTCATTTCCAGGAGGATCGGTGGGCCGATCTGGGAGCAATCGCGTCACCGTAGCTTTCTGGCCTCCAGCTGGCAGGTGCTGACTTCACCGATTCCGCGCCCCGCGCTCGTCAGCAGAATTTATGTTGTCCCTGCGGTTCTAGGGCCATGTCGACCGCTAAGAAACAGGTGATAAACAGGCACCTCGAGGCCGCCGTGAGATCCTTTCGGGCTGCATGGAACGACGACTCTATTCTGGGGGATGCGAAGGCTTACGTGTACAGCGTCGCCGTCCCCTACGTGATGCACCCGGCGGTGGCGCTCATGGGCTTGTACAACCTCGGGTTCCTTGCCGCGAACGGCATCAAGGCGGGCGTGAGGTCGTCGGGGGCGAAGGTGACCAACTTCGGGTCCTTCTTCTACCACGGGAAGAAGACGGGGAAGTCCAATTACACGGACTTTGTCTTCCAGCACGGGGAGGAGTTCGAAGTGGACGTCAACGACGCGGCATGCAGGCTGATCCACAACCCGCCTGCTCCGGCGGACGGCGTGCCTTCGGACCCCCCCACCACCACGGACATCAGATTCAAGAACGTGGGGCCCGAAGAGATGATGGCTCAAGCAGACCCGAATAAGTTTGGGCGCGAGTGGTGGTCCGCCATCCGGGCAGAGGCGGAGTTCGGGAGCCACTGCGAGCAAGTGAATCTTCTCGGCTCGGGCGGCGCCCAGAAAAAGGTACGAGAACCAGGCGGGGTACAACGACCTATTCGACGATGGCATGGCCTCGAAGCTCTACCGCGACGCGTCGAAGAACTACGGGAAGGACGCGTTCGCTAACTGGAAGCGCCGGGCGCCTCGTGCATTGTCCAAGCGGCCGTTTCGCATTCTGACCCCCCCCCCTCTTCTCCCTCCCACGCGGCCACGCGCGTGGGGGCTGAGCGGATCAGCCGCGGGGGCATTGCAGGGCGGCGCCCGGTGAGGTTCTCCAACGGCAAGAAGTTCGCACCATGGGGTTCTACCACACTGGGCGCATGAACTTCCATGACGCGTACAAGCTCCTCTGCGAGGCCGAAGGACACCATTCCATGGCGTTGCTGGACCGGTATTGCGCCATGCCGCTGATTCCGGAGAATCCGCACGCGGACCCCCCGGACGGTTTCGATCCCCCGGAGGTTGTCAAGAAGGCAGACGGGGAGTTGCAGCGCGACGCGCACGGATTGTGGCGCAGGGACAAGCTGCCTGCCCCGAGGAAGGAAGTGCTTGACGGCATGAGGGCGGTCAAGGATTTCGTGGAGAGCAACCCCAACGCTGTGGCGCGCTTCACGCCCAAAGGTGCAGCTCTGTATCGCCTGGTGGACAGCGTTAACTGGAGCGCGGCCGACCGTCTTCAGTACGTGGATGAGGACAAAGCCGCCCGGCTTCGCCAGCTGCAGCGCTTCCTCTACGACTTCGCCATTGCCCAGCTGCTGCTTGAAGTCCAGAAGGCTGCCTCCGGTCCCGCGGGCCCAGCGGGCGACGCAGCCGACGCTGGCGCGGCGGCTGCTCCGGGCGCGGTTGCCACTCGCCCCACGGTGAAGGACACGTTCGTCGACGAGCAGCACGTCCAGCGTGCAGTTTGCCACTTGGCTGCGATCTGGGAGGGCCACGAGTCCTTCGTGAACCCGCGCCGCACCATGTATTTGGAAGAGAACGCGTGGCGCGGCACGTTGGCTGAGCAGCGAGAGGCGGCGGCGCGGGCCGCGGCGGATGAGGGCGCCGATGACGTGGAGGCCGAAGGCGTCGCGGGCGCCGAGAGCGGTCTCGAGTTGCCGGCGGGGTGGTCGCAGAATGTGTGGAACGGCACTCCGCATTATTACCCCGACGCCGACGAGCGCGCGTGGCAGTATGAGCACCCGTCCACCGTGCCGACCCCGCCTGTGCCGCGGATCCCGCAGGGCGTCGACGAGTACGTCTTCGTGGGGATAATTGATGCGGGCTTGAAGTCTCGCATGATCGCCGGAGTTGACGACGCGGAGGTTACGTGGGGCGGCGGCGACCTGATCGCGGCCGCCTGCAAGAACACGCTCCTGTGGAAATGCTCCACGGCAGAGAACCGCATCACCGGCAACATGGTTTCCGCCGCCATCCGCGCGAGTCAGGTCGCTTGGCCGTCGTTGTCCTGGTGGAAGTCCGTCGTGGTCGAGGGCGAGCTCTTGCATGCGTGGCTGGGCCGGAAGTCTGACCACAATGCCGGCGGGGGGTTCTGGGAGAAGCCCAAAGTCCCGATTGATGAAGAAGAACTCACTGCCTTCGTGGACCAGTTGGCGCAATGGGGAGTTGCCCTAGAGGATTACGAGCGTGCTTGGGTCACCGGCGCGGCTGCTTCCGGCGCGGCGCCCGCGCGCAGGCCGGTGCGCGCGCCTGCGCGCGCGGCGGCGCCAGGTGGCCGTGCGAGTGATTCGCCTGACCCGGGGGCGCGGCCGACCGCGCGCAGCAGCCCGTCGTCCAACGCGCGCAAGAAGCGACGCGGACCGGCGGGTGCTGCGCGCCCGAGTGCTGCCCCGGCGCCGCGCGCGCTGGCGTCGGACTTCCGTGGGCCGACGTAGGCGCGCAGCAGATGCGCCATGCGGTGTGAGACGGGCGAGCGGAGCGCCGAGGGCGCGGCGAGAGAGGATTATGGGGAGGCAGGGCCAGGGCCACGGCCACGAGGAAGGTGCGGGAAGCTTGCTCGCTCCGCTGCCTCAGGAGGGGTGTTTTTTTCATCGCGCCAGCACGCGCTCGCTTTAGTAGCGCCTCGAAGGAGAGGGGTGTGTTCTGCACTCGCAGTGAGGATATGCTTGATTGGTGAGGTTGGAAGTAATTTGGAGGGGTTGCGGTTCCGCTGCGACGTCGGATATTCATTATTAGAAGTTTTATGTGTGTGGGCTGAGACCAACCTACTTCATCTGGCTTCCCACATCATGTGTACACTATCTCAGGACTTGTAGTGGGCATATGCTGACTTGTGATGTTGTAAAGGTGATGAGAGGGGTTGTACATTGCAATTGTTTTTGAGGGGGTGGAGGTTCTGCTTCGACGTCGGACATTCATTTTCAGGTTTTCTAGGTGGATGGGCCGAGACCAACCTACTTCGTGTGCCTTCCTACTTCATGTGTACATTAGCTTCTAGTTCAGCAGTCGCAGTGAGCATATGTCTGAATTGTTGATTGTTGAGGCGCTCAGAGGGACCATACATTGCAATCGTTTCGGAAGGGTGGAGGCTCCGGCACGCTGCGTCGTCGGATATTCACAACGAGTTCTCGGGTGCCACCCACGCTCTACAGGCCGCCAGTATTCTAATATTCCAATGTATTTTCAGAAGAGTGAACCTCGAGAGGGCATTAAATGCTAGTTGATGCGCGCGCATTCTGTTGTAAGTGTCAGGGGCTACATGCCTATGTTTTTCCGGGGATTCGCACAGTCGGCGTCTTCGTGCTGTAGTGGCATGGCGATTCCGTAACCATGATGGCTTTGGCTGCGTTTCTGGATGTGCTGCTTCCCCCTGCAGGGCGGTTCGCACGTCGTGGGGTTTCGTTCTCGCTGCGCCGCTCGTCGCCATGGCGCGACTTTGGCCTACTAGTACGACCGGCGGAGGGGCCCCCCGCTCGAGACATGCTCGAAAGTCCTCCCCGGCGGGGCTACCAGTAGGGACGAAGTAGCCCTACTAGTACGGGCCCCGGGGAGCTGGCGGGGGCGTACTAGTAGAGCTACTTTGGCCTACTAGTACGACTGGCGGAGAGGCCCCCCGCTCGAGACATCCTCGAAAGTCCGCCCCGCCGGGGCTATTAGTAGGGCTACTTTGGCGTACTAGTACGGGCCCCGGGGGGCTGGCGGGGGCGTGCTAGTAGGGCTACTTTGGCCTACTAGTACGACCGGCGGAGAGGCTCCCCGCTCGAGACATCCTCGAATGTCCGCCCAGGCGGGGCTACTAGTAGGGCTACTCTGGCGTACTCGTACGGCCCAGGAGAGCTGGCGAGGGCGTACTAGTAGGGCTACTTTGGCCTACTAGTACGACCGGCGGAGAGGCCCCATGCTCGAGACATCCTCGAAAGTCCGCCCCGGCGAGGGCTACTAGAAGGACTACTTTGGTCTACTAGTACGGCCCCGGGGGGTTGGCGGGGGCGTACTCGTAGAGCTACTTTGGCCTGCTTAGCCGTACTAGTACAACCCGCGGAGTCGTACTAGTAGGCGTACTTTGGCCCTACGGGTTCGCCTCCCGAGCGCCGCGGGTCGTACTAGTAGGCCTGCTTAGCCGTACTAGTACAACCCGCGGAGTCGTACTAGTAGGCGTACTTTGGCCCTACGGGTTCGCCTCTCGAGCGCCGCGGGTCGTACTAGTAGGCCTGCTTAGCCGTACTAGTACAACCCGCGGAGTCGTACTAGTAGGTGTACTTTGGCCCTACGGGTTCGCCTCTCGAGACATACTCGAAAGTCCTCCCCGGCGGGGCTACCAGTAGGGACGAAGTAGCCCTACTAGTACGGGCCCCGGGGAGCTGGCGGGGGCGTACTAGTAGAGCTACTTTGGCCTACTAGTACGACCGGCGGAGAGGCTCCCCGCTCGAGACATCCTCGAAAGTTCGCCCCGCCGGGGCTATTAGTAGGGCTACTTTGGCGTACTAGTACGGGCCTCGGGGGGCTGGCGGGGGCGTACTAGTAGGGCTACTTTGGCCTACCAGTACGACCGGCGGAGAGGCGCCCCGCTCGAGACATCCTCGAATCTCCACCCCGGCAGGGCTACTAGTAGGGCTACTTTGGCCTACTAGTACGGCTCCGGGGGGCCGGCGGGGGCGTACTAGTAGGGCTACTTTGGCCTACTAGTACGACCGGCGGAGAGGCCCCCCGCTCGAGACATCCTCGAAAGTCCGCCCCGGCGGGGCTACTAGTCGGGCTACTTTGGTCTACTAGTACGGCCCCGAGGAGCTGGCGGCGGGGTACTAGTAGGGCTACTTTGGCCTACTAGTACGTCCGGCGGAGAGGCCCCCCGCTCGAGACATCCTCGAAAGTCCGCCCCGGCGAGGGCTACTAGAAGGGCTACTTTGGCCTACTAGTACGGCCCCGGGGGGTTGGCGGGGGCGTACTCGTAGAGCTACTTTGGCCTGCTTAGCCGTACTAGTACAACCCGCGGAGTCGTACTAGTAGGTGTACTTTGGCCCTACGGGTTCGCCTCCCGAGCGCCGCGGGTCGTACTAGTAGGCCTGCTTAGCCGTGCTAGTACAACCCGCGGAGTCGTACTAGTAGGCGTACTTCGGCCCTACGGGTTCGCCTCCCGACCGCCGCGGGTAGTACTAGTAGGCGTACTTAGCCGTACTAGTACGACCCGCGGAGTCGTACTAGTAGGCGTACTTCGGCCCTACGAGTACGCCTCCCGACCGCAGCGGGTCGTGCTAGTAGGCGTACTTAGCCGTACTAGTACGACCCGCGGCGTCGTACTAGTAGGCGTACTTCGGCCCTACGAGTACGCCTCCCGACCGCAGCGGGTCGTACTAGTAGGCGTACTTAGCCGTACTAGTACGACCCGCCGGGTCGTACTAGTAGGCGTACTTCGGCCCTACGAGTACGCCTCCCGACCGCAGCGGGTCGTACTAATAGGCGTACTTAGCCGTACTAGTACGACCCGCCGGGTCGTACTAGTAGGCGTACTTCGGCCCTACGAGTACGCCTCCCGACCGCAGCGGGTCGTACTAATAGGCGTACTTAGCCGTACTAGTACGACCCGCCGGGGCGTAGTAGTAGGCGTACTTCGGCGTACTAGTACGACCCGCCGGGGCGTACTAGTAGGCGTACTTCGGCCCTACGAGTACGCCTCCCGACCGCTGCGGGTAGTACTAGTAGGCGTACTTAGCCGTACTAATACGACCCGCCGGGTCGTACTAGTAGCCGTACTTCGGCCCTACGAGTACGCCTCCCGACCGCAGCGGATCGTACTAATAGGCGTACTTAGCCGTACTAGTACGACCTGCCGGGGCGTACTAGTAGGCGTACTTCGACGTACTAGTACGACTCGCCGGGTCGTACTAGTAGGCGTACTTCGGCGTACTAGTACGGCCAGCCGGGAAAACCAAGCACTCTCTCCCCTGCGCGCGGCTGAGACTGCCCGAGAGTCGCCCCAGACTAGCCCAAGATACCCCGAAGACGGCCCCAAGAGAAGCACGAAAAGCGCGCCACTGCTGCACCGCTGAAGCCGATCACTTCAAGGTGGCCCCAAGGACCCCTACAGACGGATTTTGGACAACAGAACAAAAAAAAAGTCACAAAATATTCAGAATTTGTCAGCAATAATCGAACAATCGTCCCCAGACTATTTTTTGCTACTTTTGACGATTCCCCCTGTAGAGGGACACGCCCGACTTAACCCTACAGGAGCCCCTCGAGAGGCCCAGGGGCCCTCCAAGAAGCCCCCGAAGAGACTCCTCGTAGGTAAGGCCGGCCTGCCAAGGCCTGCGGAGCACGGACCAGGCGCAATTCGGGCGCCGGCACAACTGGGTTCAGTGGGACCTGGTTGAGTGATGTGTACAGTCGGGGCGTTGACCCAAGGAACCCAAAATAAGGAACGAGGCCCCTTTTTCCCATAGGTTCGACCTCGATTTCCCATGGAAAACCTCAGGAAAGCCCGAGGCAAACTTTGGAACAATCAAGGAACACCGAGCCCCTCCCCAACGAAAAGGGTTCCTTCTTCAGCGCCCCGACTGTACTGGGGGAGCCCCCCGCCGCCCGTTCCACGAACCGGACCTGCCGTCACCCGAAAAATCACCAGCTACGGCAGACCTGGTTTGGTGAGTCTGGCAAATTCAGGGGCTCCGGGGCCCTACCACGAACCGGGTCCCCGTATCTGGGGTCCTGGCTATACGCGAGCAATGGCGGGATAGGCCGAAGGCCACAACGATTCTCGCCCCCGCTCGGAACACGTCCCTGCCCCTTGGCGCCGGTCCCCACTGCGCCCCCTGCGCCCAAGCGCGTCTCATTCCACGGTCGGCGGGCCCGGCCGCCGAGGCCCGTGCAGCGAAGGTCGGCAAGGTGCGCTGCGGGATGGGTGGCCAGTGCAGCGCTGCTGCGAAACATCGCGTGAGGCCTGCTCCGGGTGTCTTGATGAGCGTGGGGGGGGGCCCCCCCGGCGGGGGTCAACCTCGCCTCGTCGTCGCGCCGCGACGAGGGTCGGAGCGCGGTTGGCACGCGGTTGCTGCCCGCGACGGGGGTCGATGTGGGGCTGTCCGCAGGGGTGACGCCCCCCGACGCTTATTGAGAAACTCGGAGTGGGTTCGATTGAATTCCACACGGGCACATGGACTGCCACCAATCAATGCAGATTGAGAGGCCTGCCGACGAACCGCTGGTGCAGGTCAGGGCTGAAAAGCTCGGATTGCTGCACATCATA